TAGTAGAGACAGGGTTTCACCATGTTGGCCAGGCTGGTCTCGAACTTCTGACCTCAAGTGATCTGCCTGCCTCAGTCTCCCAAAGTGCTGGGATTACAGGCGAAGTCACTATGTGTGGCCAGAAAACAATGTATTAAGTGTTGGTGAGGATATACAGAAAATGAAACACTTGTGCACTGCAGGTAGGAACGGGAAATGGTATAGCCTCTGTGGAAATAGTATGGAGGTTCCTCAGAAAATTAAAAGTAAAATTACCATACAGTTCCACTTCTGAGTATATACCCAGAAGAACTGAAAACACGGTTATGTGTACACCCACGTTTATAGTTTTATTCATGAAAGCCAAGAAGTGGAAGCAACCCAGGTGTCCATCACTGAATGAATGGATAAACAAAATGTGGTATATACATATAATGGAATCTTTTTCAGCTTTAAAAAGAAAGGAGATTCTGACACTTGCTACAACTCTTAACGACATTATGCTGATTGTCTCTGACTTATTTCACTCACAAAAAGACAAATACTGTATGATTCCATTTATGTGGGGTACCTAGAGTAGTCAAATTCAGAGAAACAGAAAGTAGAGTGGTAGTTGCCACAAGCTGCTAAGAGATGGTAGTGATGGTTGCACAACAATGTGAATGTACTTAATACCACTGAACTATACACTTGAAAATGGCCTATGTTTTCTGCTTGTAACAACCATCCTAATGGGTATAAAGTGGTATCTCATTGTGGTTTTATGTTTCCCTAATGACTAGTGATGTTGAGCATCTTTCCATATGCTTATTAATATAAACATCTTTATAAAAGCTCTGAAATTAGATTGTATGTCATAGCAGTGTTTTTTCTTTGTAGCATATAAAATGGTAGATTATGAAATCAATAGTATCTTAAGATATAATAAACATCTAAGATAAGAAAAAGCAAAAGCTTCTCCCAGTGTTTTATTATTATTCCTATATTTTTCTGTTGCCCAGGCTGGAGTGCAGTGGCATGATCTCAGCTCACTGCAAACTCCACCTTCTGGGTTCATGCCATGTTCCCACCTCAGCCTTGCAAGTAGGTGGGATTGCAAGCATGTGCCACCACACCTGGCTAACTTTTGTATTAATACTTTTAGTAGAGACAGGGTTTCACCATGTTAGCCAGGCTGGTCTTGAACTCCTGACCTCAAGTGATCCAACTACCTTGGCCTCCCAAAGTGCTGGGATTATAGGCATGAGCCACTGCGCTCATTTTATTTTTTAAAGAAACACTAATATTTTCATAGGAGGAAGCAATCCAGTAAAAGAAAAACAGCCTTCTGGGATTAAACTGCCTACCAGTCTATTCAAAGTTACTGAAAAGCCTCTGTCTACTGGAAGCTGCAGGTAGCTGTCCAAATAAAGGCATTCAAAAGGAAAAGATAAAGAGAAAAGAGTCTGAGGTGAGGGGGTGGGAGAGGGAAGAAGCAAGATTACAAAAAAAAAAAATCTGGATTAAAACAACACAGAGAAATACTGAATTATGACCATTCTCAGCCTATTATTCTTCAATTACCAGACCAGGTTTCCCATCAGCTTAAGCCTTTTAAAAAAGCCATTTCATTTACAATCAGATTGGCACCTAATTAGGCAGCACTAAGGGAATGAGTATTAGCAATGCCTGCTTTATTACTGGCAACACAGATAACTTATACTGATAATATTGATATGCATGAGCTTCAGGGAACTGTTAGAAATATGACATACATATACTCTTCCTACAAATGGGATATTTGGTTTTAGACCAATATTTATTAAAATGTGAAGAAAGGACATCAGACATACACACACACAGACGTGATTAGGAAGAAGGCTGGTGCATTGATAGACTCTTTTCTAATAAATATTCTGCAGACACAGGAGAAATGACAATCATAAATTTTGAAAACAGTCTTCCAACTGTTTTTTTTCTTTTCATTGAGAGTCAGGCAGAATGGACCATTCCAGTCAGTTAGCCTGCGTTGAAAAATACCCAGAGAAAAACCTTTGTTTCTTGCTCACATCAGTAAACTTAAGCATCAAAGTTATGCATTTTAAATCAAGAGAAGTATGATTGAACATAAAGGCGGGGTGGAAGGGAAGAGATAATTTTCTTAGAAGTTGTCCAGAAAGAATGCACAAGTGGGAGCCACAATTTTGTCTAAAACTTTCCTATGAAGTGGTCAAACCAACTGCTTCCTCAGCCTCTAGCTTCTCCCAGCAAGGTAAAACGGAGGGCCAGGTGGCATGAGGATCATGTAGGGTAGAAATAAGGAGGCTGGGGAAGGCTGATACATTAGACAGCCTACTAAGCTACAATACGAAGGGAGCACATCACAAAGTGTAGCAACTCTTTTTTCTTAAAGACAAGACCTCTGGCTCAAGAGTGGCAGAGTAGTAAAGGCAACGAAAGAAAACAGACAATCAACTACCCACAGAAACTGCTGAAGAGAACAGTGGAGGCAGACTTCCAGCATCAGGTAAGGGTCAGAATGATCATAGTGGGAATTAACCACTCTGTTAATTAGGTTGCCTGCCTGTGTGCCAAGAACTCTTGCTTAGTACTTTGAAAACTATCAGCTTTCCGGGTGCAAATCCTCAAATATATCTGAAAGTATGCCAGTCTACTTACTTAGAAACAGTCTCACAACCTGAAAGAACAGTGCTGTGGTTCTATTTACCATTAGTGTGATAAGGAGCTTCAAATAAAAATAAACGGCCCAGGAGGGCAAACTGCTTGAGGTCAGGAGTTCGAGACCAGCCTGGCCAACATGGTGAAACCCTGTCTCTACTAAAAACACAAACATTAGCTGGGCATAGTGGTGGGTGCCTGTAATCCCAGCTACTAGGGAGACCGAGACATGAGAATCATTTGAACCTTGGTGATGGAGGTTGACTGCACCACTGCACTCCATCCAGCTCGAGTGACAGAGCAAGACCCTGTCTCAAAAAATAAATAAATGGCCCAACAAAAAAATTCTCTTCCCTTGATTGCATCACCCCCAGCTTATCTTAATTACATTAGCAGTAATGGCACATTCAATCTGTAGGCTAATCAGGGATGATCAGCCACCCATCTGTCCCATTCCAACCTATTCCGTTTACGTCCACATCTGAACCATTGAATTAAGTGCAAGGAAGAAGGCTAACTAGAGGAACTAATGAGAGAGAATCAACAGAACTGTTCACCTAACAACTAAGAGGAGGGCAGTGAGAGTCTAAGGTGAGATGGAGGCAAGGACAAAAAGAAAAGAAACCCAGGCGAAAAGAGAAAGGATAAACTGGAAGGATGTGGAGAGATATAAAAATTAAAAGGAAGGCAAAACAAACCACAGGAAGTAACAAAACAGTGGAGAAACTATTATAAATTAAATCTGAATCTTTCAAGTTATTGTTATGGTGTGGAAAATATTTCTCTTTGAACACAGTTAAGAAAAAAAGGCATGGAGAGAATTGGGCAGCTGAATTAAGAACAGGTGGGGAGCATTTGAACCCCATTTTCATGAAGGGAAGGGGGCAATATGCTTTGACTTCACACTTGTTTATTACTGCACTGTTGCTGGCTTTTAGAAACACTGCATATGTTCTGATAATGTTGTTCTGTTTTTGCTGGGATGTACCAAATGGGGAAAGACAGGACACAGTTGTGGTTTTATAGCTTGTTTTCTTGGCATTTCAGCAGGACACTGGCAAGTTATTCAAACATGAAATTGACACCAATATACCAGAAAGTTGCTCACTTTTTGTGTGAAAATGATTCTTGCTCAGTGGCAGTTTGCTGGTGTCAAGACAGGTCAAAGGTCTCCGCCTAGGCTGGCTCCCAACACAGGAATGCCTCCCTCACAAACACATATGCACACATTTTGCACTGTGGTATGTCACCTAAATGTTTTGGCTGGCTACACATTTAGTCTCTCAGTATGGCACAATGTTCAGAGACTGCCAATTCCAGAAACACATTCTGTGGGGTAAATGGATTAATAAAGCTTGGTAGCATTCAACAATCCTAATTTAATTTCACTGGTTCTTTACAGCAGGAGAATGAATATTGGTGAGTAACTCACTTAACATGTGAACCAAAAAAAGCCCTTTTAAAAATATTTCCAGATCTGAATCAAGTGAATTTCTCCGTATCTATGACCAAGTACTATTGCCAACAATATAATTAATGAAATTTTGGGAACTGTATTTATTTTTTTTGAGATAGAATCTTACTCTGTCACCTAGGTTGAAGTGCAGTGGCACGATCTCAATCAACTCACTGCAACCTCCA